ATTTATCAAAGAAACACTACTTTCCCTCAAATCCCATATAGATCCAAAGACATTAATTGTTGGGGATTTTAACACACCACTCTCCCCACTAGATAGATCAACTCGGCAAAAACTCAACAGAGAAACCACAGATCTAAACAGCTGCATAGATCAACTAGACTTAACAGACATTTACCAAACAATTCACTCAGCAGCATCAGAATACACGTTTTTCTCAGCAGCACATGGAACGTTTTCTAAAATAGACCACATTTTAGGCCACAAAGCAAACTTGTCTAAATTCAGAAACATTGAAGTTATACCTTGCATTCTCTCTGACCACAAGGGAATAAAGTTAGAACTCAACACCAAAAGCCACCAAAGAAAGTCCGGTATCACATGGAGGCTGAACAACACACTGCTGAATCATGAGTGGGTCATGGAAGAGATTAGAAAGGAAATTCAAATGTTCATGCTATTCAACAAAAATGAACACACAAATTACCAGCTCCTCTGGGACACAGCAAAAGCAGTACTCAGAGGCAAGTTTATAGCTCTGAGCTCCTACATCAACAAATTGGAGAGATCTTTAACTAACAATTTCATGACACATCTAAACCTCCTTGAAAAAGAGCAGCAAGATAAACCCCAATCCAGTAGACGGAAAAAAATAATCAAAATTAAATCAGAATTAAATGAATTAGAATCCAAAAAAACTATAGAAAGAAACAACAAAACAAAGAGTTGGTTCTTCGAAAAACTTAACAAAATTGACAGACCCTTAGCAAATCTTATCAGAAAAAGAAGAGAACACACCCAAATTAATAAACTCAGAGATGAGAATGGAAACATCACCACGGAAACAACCAAGATTCAGAACATTATAAGGGAATACTTCTCAAAACTGTATGCTAATAAGTTTGAGAACTTGACAGAAATGGACCTCTTCCTAGCAAATATTGACATGCCAAAACTAAACCAAGATGAGTTAAACTATCTTAACAGGCCCATATCAAGCATTGAAATAGAAACAGCAATAAGAGACCTCCCAGCTAAGAAAAGTCCAGGACCAGATGGTTTTACAGCGGAATTTTACAAGGCCTTCAAAGCAGAGCTCACACCAATTCTCCTCCAACTCTTCAATGAAATTGAAAGAGAAAGCTCACTACCGAACACATTCTATGAAGCCATCATCACCCTCATCCCAAAACCAGGCAGGGACTCATCAAAGAAAGAGAACTATACACCCATTTCTTTGATGAACATTGATGCAAAAGTTCTCAACAAAATTTTGGCCAACCGACTTCAACAATTCATCCAAAAAATCATACACCACGATCAAACAGGATTCATTTCAGGGATGCAAAGCTGGTTCAATATATGCAAATCAATTAATATTATTCATCACATCAACAGGAGCAAGAATAAGAACCACATGGTTATCTCAATAGACGCAGAAAAAGCATTCGACAAGATCCAACACCCCTTCCTGATGAAGGTTTTGGAAAAATTAGGAATCCATGGAACATTCCTCAATACAATAAAGGCTATATATGACAAACCTACAGCCAGCATTATACTCAATGGTGAAAAACTAAAGCCATTTTCTCTTAACTCAGGAACAAGACAAGGATGTCCACTCTCTCCACTTCTCTTCAATCTAGTATTAGAATGCCTAGCTACAGCAATAAGACAAGATGCAGACATAAAGGGGATCCAAATAGGGAAAGAAGAAATAAAACTCTCCCTCTTTGCAGATGACATGATCTTGTATTTAAAGAATCCCATAGACTCCACTCCCAAATTACTCAAGCTGATTCAAAACTTTGGCAAAGTAGCAGGTTATAAAATTAACCCCCAAAAATCCATGGCTTTTCTGTATGCCAACAATGAGAAAAGTGTGGCTGAAATTAGGAAAGCAACTCCATTTGTAATAGCCCCACAAAAAATAAAATACCTAGGAATTAACTTAACTAAAGAAGTGAAGGACCTCTATGATGAAAACTTTAAAATCTTGAAAAAGGAAATCAACACAGAACTTAAAAAATGGCAAAACCTCCCATGCTCCTGGATTGGAAAGATTAACATTGTGAAAATGGCAATACTTCCCAAGGCTATCTACAAATTCAACGCAATACCTATCAAAATTCCACCCTCATTCTTCAAGGAAATAGAAGAGGCAATCCAAAAATTCATATGGAACAATAAAAGACCCCGAATAGCAAAAATGCTCCTCAACGGAAAGAACACTGCTGGAGGAATATCAGTACCAAATTTCAAACTCTACTATAAAGCCATAGTAATCAAAACAGCTTGGTATTGGCATAAGAACAGACCTCAGGACCAATGGAATAGAATTGAAAACCCAGAAATGAACCTACAGACCTATAGCCATCTAATCTTCGATAAGGGAGCTAAAACAATAGAATGGAAGACAGACAGCCTCTTCAGTAAATGGTGCTGGCAAAACTGGTTAACTACATGTAGAAAACTAAAGCTAGATCCTTATATATCACCCTGCACCAGAATCAACTCCAAATGGATCAAAGACCTTGAACTCAAAGCAGACACTCTGAAAACATTACAGGATGGAATAGGAGAAACCCTGGGTCTCCTCGGCTCAGGCTGAAATTTTCTGAATAGAGACCCGGAAACACAAAACAAATCAAAGAAAGGTTGGACAAATGGGATTGTATAAGGTTGCAGAGCTTCTGCAGGGCAAATGACATAGCTAGCAAGATCAACAGAAAGCCCACGGATTGGGAGAAGATCTTTACTAGCCATACAACGGACAAGGGTCTCATATCTAAAATATACTTGGAACTCAAAAAATTAAACCACCCAACAACAAATCCTCAAAGAAACAACTACCCAATAAGTAAGTGGGCGAAAGACCTAAAGAGAAGCTTCTCTGAAGAAGAAAGAAGGATGGCCAATAGACACATGAAGAAATGTTCAACATCCCTAGCCATAAAAGAAATGCAAATCAAAACAACATTGAGATATCACCTCACTCCAGTTAGAACAGCAAAAATCAAGAACTCTAACAACAACAGATGCTGGAGGGGATGTGGACAGAAAGGAACCTTACTTCATTGTTGGTGGGAATGTAAACTTGTTCAACCACTTTGGAAAGCAATATGGAGGTTCCTCAAAAGACTCCATATAGAGCTCCCCAATGACCCAGCAATCCCACTTTTGGGCATTTACCCAAATGGCCACAAACAAGGCCACACTAAAGCTACCAGCACAACTATGTTTATTGCAGCATTATTTACCATAGCTAAGAGATGGAACCAACCCAGATGCCCCTCAGTAGATGAATGGATCAAGAAGATGTGGTATATATACACAATGGAATTCTATGCCTCCATCAGAAAGAATGACATTGCCCCATTTGTTAGGAAATGGAAAGGCTTGGAAAAAATTATATTAAGTGAAGTAAGCCAGGCCCAAAGAAACATAGGTCCCATGGTTTCCCTTATTTGCAATATCTAGTATAGGTATGAGTCAAGCGGAAAAAGTCAGAGAATGTGATGTTAGGAAAACGAACCCTCAAATATGTATTTTAATGTTTTTGTTTCTTTCATGCATGTGTTTCTAACGCATTTATAATATTATTTCTTTGTTGCTTTGTATGTCCCTCCCCCACAGTGTAACCCCCGCTTTCACTATATTTGATGTCAGTATAACATGTGGAGGAGATGGGGACAAACAAGTCGTTTAAGGATTCAGGTGGACCTGTTGCAACAATGAGAAGTACAAAATGCCATGTCAAAACCAGCTTTACAATGTCGTTGGGGGGGGGGGGAGGGGGGGTATGATTGGGTGGGGGGGAGGGGGGAGGCTGGGAAGGGAGGTGAAGGGTAAACAAAGGAGGAGGCTGCAATGCTTGGTAAGAAATGTATGCATTTTCCTGCCCATGTAATTGTAACCCCTCTGTACAGTATGTTCTCAATTAAAATAAAATAAAATTAAAAAAAAAAAAAAGAAATGCAAATCAAAACAACATCAAGATTCTACCTCACCCCAATTAGAATGGCCATTATCAAGAAATCTAATTTATTCTTCTTGCTAATATTTACCAGAATGTTCTTTGTTTAAGACTACTCATCCAACAATATGAGACATCAACTTTGAGTTGAGTTGACATCAGCCTGAGGTCATCTTCTTACCATCTATGGGACTCAAAGTTCTCACTGGCTTGGCAAAAGGTTATATAACTCTTGGGACAAACTTTATCTATAATATTAGTTATTGAATTTCATTCTAGCACTAAATTGAAATCTCTATCTTTCTTCTATTTATCTATCTAGCCTATTCCTTATATTTCCTTGCATTTAATTTTATTTTTATTTTTTGGATCCGGTCGTGGGGCCTGAACCCTGGGCCTGGGCACTGTCCCTTAGTTCCTCAGCTCAAGGTTAGCGCTCTACCACTTGAGTCACAGTGCCACTTCTGGCTTTTTTCTTTTTGCTTACGTGGTGCTGAGGAATCGAACCCAGGGCCTCATGCATGCAAGGCAAGCGCTCTACCACTGAGCCACCTTCCCAGCCCTCCTTGCATTTAAATTTTACTAAGCTTTGTAAAAGGTATTGAAGAAAAAAAAAGAATGTGTAGTGTTTAAATACTTTTGTATTGCAAGTAAAATTTATATTAAACATTTTATGAGATGAATCTGCAATGGCAATGTCAAATAACTCTTTTTTGGGGAAAAGAAGATTGGGTCATCTGGGGTTTGGTGTTATAGTTTCCCTAATTTTGTTAAAATTTGAGTTTCTGACAATTGGAAAGCCATGAAACAGTTTCCCAGTCTATCAGACAGAAGAGTGTAGAATAAATATTATTGCAATATTGATGATAAAGTAGATATGAAGACAAAGAAAAGGAGGAGAAAACAGCAATATAGACAGAGTCCAGGAGACAGAACTCATATTGAGTGGATCTAGAACTCATGCCATGAAGCACTGAGCTGATGCAAGATCAGTGCCATAAAGCATGAAAAGTAAACTCTCGCTTACCATTTCGTCCATTTTGCTTCAGTGTATTTGCAGAAAGCTGGATGGTGCTTCCATGGCCCATGTTTTCTGGAAATTTCAAGTCTTCTAGGTTTCCTTCTGTGCTCAGCCTTGCCACTTCCAACTCTTTTCATAGTAAAAAGATAGCAGTGTTCATGGAGAAATATGCCAAAATTATTATAGAGTAACTTCACGAATCACTGAAACATTTCTCAACTCAGAACATTGTAAGTTTTGTTCTCTTAAACTGAATTTTAGCATATACTTAGTATTTAATTTTTTAGTTTTTAAAATATAGCACAACTGGCTGAGCATGTGGTTCAGTGGTACAACTTCTCTGTGTATTGTTTGCATGGCCTATCACTATCACAAAAATTAATAAAGTAAATAAATAACTGAATAAATAAAGCAAGTGAAAGCTTGCAAAATTGTGTCATATAAGTGTATCAATAAAGTCTAAAATTTAAGTCCAAATCCTTATTTTGTCTTAAATTAATTGCGACACTAATTGTAAGGTTAATTTTAATGTTAATTTTCAAAGTGTTTTATGAATTGAATAAAAAATTCTTTTGTAGTTTGGATCTTCACTATCTTCTCACTATTAATTTAATTTCAAATATAATAAATTTGAAAAGAATTTTATCATTTCCTCAAGTAACACTATCAGTTCCATCCTAAAACCACAGTAAAAACATTTATAATTTTCATAAGCAAAATAATGAAATTATCAAACATTTTTGTCATTTCCATTCAAATGATTTATTTTATAGTTATAATTTAAGTACATTGAAAATACATATAATCCTTGCATTGGGAGGCTAGAATATATAGTGACCTAAAACAGATATAAATATATGCTTACATGAAGATTCTAAAAATGAAATAATCTCACTGTAAGTGATCTCAGGGTAACACATCAAAATATTGGGATATCCCAAACATCCATGGATATTTTTGATCCTATAAAGCCTAAAGGTGATGTGTTCATAATTGGAGAAAGGGAATAACTTTAACTCCATTGAAATAGGCACCAGATAAACCTTTTCATTACTCTTTCTGTTCTACAAAGGTCTCTGCAGCTTTATATCCCAAAAGCTACTTACGAATATTGTCTGTGTTCTCTCTGACAATGTCAGTCTTCAAAAGGTTATCAGCCAGCACAAAAGCACTCTCCTCCACCGTGTCAAGCAACATGGTAGCTGCACGAAGTTGATCACTTGTAGTCAAGTCTTTCCAAGCATTCAGTGCTTGTGGCTGAAGGAGGTTGTTAACTGTCTCTACCATCGCCTACAAGAGGATGAACAGAATAACAGAGGTCTCTAGTGAGCACAAATAGCTGTCATAAATCCAGATGTACATGTTTCCCAGTAAGCAAGGAACAGCAGTGTGCATAAGTTCACTATTGTCCCAGCCTCCCCTGTGACATGCTGTATTAGAAACATTCTTTTTTTGGTAAAACCTTAGCTGAGTCTTTGCAAGGCAACAGGAAAAATGTGAGGTATTTTTTTTGTCTGTTTTGAAGGACAACAAATAGAGCCATGCTTGCTTCTTGAAATCAATAGCATGTCCTCAATAAGACTATGACCACATAATTAAGTTATTTGGCTGGTGACAAGTAATTTATTCCAACAGTTTGTCACATCACTCACAGAAAGTGTTGTGAGTTTTTTTTCTGCACATCACCATAAAACTAGATGCTGACCATAGCAGAGAATGAAGACTGGACAGTATAAGAATTTATTGCCTGGGTTGAGGATTCACTGACCAAACACATTTTTACTTTTTCTTGTCTTTTTTTTTTTAAGCTAGCTAGTCAAATGTCAGAATGAGGACAATATCAAAGTAGACATACTCTCGGGGGCTGGGATATGTCTTATGTGAAGAGAAACCTTCTTTATACTGTTTACAGGGATGGTATAAACAGTTGGACTTCATTATGTATGGCCCTCAGGTGTTTTTTTTTCTTTAGGAAATCAGCAGTAGGTACATCCACACAGAGAGACAGAACACCATATTTCTCATTCCTTCATCCAAAGGAATAATCTCTGTAGTTACAACATATATATATTTCCTGCGGTTTGCTTTATGTTGTAGGTTACAAAGAAGAAACGGCTCTCCCAATAAGGTCTTGGGTTTCATTCAAACATAGAAAATGGCAAAATAGAAAAATACAACACCTGCAGTTTGAACGTTATCGTCCCTGAACCCATTCATTATGAAGTATGTCTCCAATCCAGAAATAAAGATGAATAAACAGCCAAACACAGACACTATTTCTAGGCATTGCCTAAGTGTTCTGCAGCAGAGTTCTCGCTTTGAACACAACTGGCAGAGTGACTGGGTGAGATGAGAGTCATACCCTTTACATGGCTGTGTTTCCTTCTGCCTGGTGTTTTCATGATTACCAAGTAACAACTGTTAACAATTCAGCCTCATCATGAAATACCTTGGCTGCCAATTAACACCAAGTTCTAAAACTAATTTGCCTTTTGACAAAAAGTTGTGTTTCTTCATATTTTTGCAGCTAGTCCAAGTTCTGGCCAAAAACTCATATCACTGGACTTTTAAGGAAAGAAATCCTACTCACAACTTGTATACTTTGCATCCTTAATACACACACACACACACACACACACACACACACAAACCAATCTGTTTTTAATTTAAAACTGGACACATTCAGATTGTTGTTTGTTCTGACCTAGTAGGTATACCAAGATATTTGCAGATCCCTATCACCACCACCACCACAACAACCACAAAAATATATAGATAAATAAATAAACAAACAAACTTTTCCAGGAAGTTCTCTACAGTGGTAATACCAACACATATGCAAAAAATAATCAAAATAAGAGGTGTGTCAGAGAGGAAATAAATAAACCAAAACTTAGATATCTGAACCAAACAGAAAACATCAACCTCTTTAGTGCAAAGATGTACTCTTTCTGGAATAGGATGATCCTTGAAACTCATTAGAAACACATGCAACTGGAATTATGTGACTCTTAGAAATGGTGCTTGTACTCTAGAAGATAATGATCTTAACAGTTACTACATAATAGTATATTGTTTTAAATCTTACCTCAGGCAACACTTTCTGAGAATAATGTAATATTGCTGTTTTGCTCTTGGTTGTTTTAATTCATTTAATTAAAAATGCAGATGAGAAATACAAAAAAATAGCAATATGGTTCACACCATCATGTTTTAAAACATTGTTATGTATAACATGCCCAGGACTAAATGATGAAGCAGAAGGTCTGAACAGACTAACAGCGACTGAATCAATCATCAAAAACTTCACAACAATGGAAAGCCTAGGACCAGATGGTTTCTCTTGTAAATTCAATCAAACATTTAAAGAATATATACCGATTCTCAAACTCTTCCAAAACGCTGAAGAGGATGGAATACTTCCAAACACATTACTTCTCTAAATGAAATGCCAAATAAAGAAACCATAAAGAAAGATAAGCACAGACCATCATCCTGATAAACATAGACGCATAATTCCTCATCAGAAAAATACTAGCAAACCCAGCAGCACATTAAAAATGACCAGTCAGGCCGGGCGCTGGTGGCTCACGCCTGTAATCCTAGCTACTCAGGAGGCTGAGATCTGAGGATCGCGGTTCAAAGCCAGCCCGGGCAGGAGAGACCGTGAGACTCCTATCTCCAATAAACCACTAGAAAACCGGAAGTGGCGCTGTAGCTCAAGTGGTAGAGCGCTCGCCTTGAGCTGAAGAGCTGAGGGACAGCGCCCAGGCCCAGAGTTCAAGCCCCACGACCGACAAAAAAAAAAAAAAAATGACCAGTCAGAACAACCAAGTATAATTTGTTCCTAATATATATGGACAGTCCAACTTATAAAAAAGCAATTAATATGATAAACTCTCATAACAGAATAAAGAATTATTCATGTTACATGGATTTACTTGATACATGCAGGGGGAAAAATCCCTCTTGTCCAATAGAGTACTTTTTCATGATAACTGTCAAAAAACTAGAAACAGAAAGAAATTACCTCACCATAATAAATGCCCTATATGGAAAGCCCACAGCTAACATCACATGCAGTACTAAAAATATGAAAGCTTCTTCCTTAAAATCATCACAAAGATAAGGATGCCCGTGTTTACCATTTTCTTTAACACAGTGCTTGAGGTGCTAGCCAGAGCAATTAGCCAGTACAAAGGAATATAAGCTGGAATTGAAAAGGGAAAAAAAAGTCTCAGTTTACAAAGAGCATTGTGTATAATACACCCAAAAGACTTCATGAAAAACCACTGCTACTACCAACAATAAAAAAAGACTCTTGAAACTAATAAATAAACTCATAAACCTGTTTCCAACAGATTTCTAGACTGCTTTCTCTAAAAGATGTAGCTTCCAACTAACATTTATGAATCAAGGGCATCTCTTGTTAATTTTTCTTAGTTTTTCATCCACCAAAATTCAAAATCTGTACTACTGAAATAATCATAAATTTTGAATATACTGCCAACAACTGTATTCTCTCAAGTAAGGTATTATTTTTCAATTCAAGTTCTACTAAACCTTAAATAAATTCCAAGTTTGTTAAGAGACTAAAACTATGGTTCTTAAAGTGTAGTATGTGATGATTCAAACTTAAGATTCATTTCGTCTACTTAAAAAAAAAAACCATGTATTCATGATTGCTAAATTACAGTTACAAGAAACTGTTAACACAAAGATTGGGAGACAGTCTTTTGTAATATTAAAATGAAGGGTATAAGATTTAGAACCAGATGGACTGAACTTGATGTTTTACTATGTGGTATTGGGTAAATCATTTAACTTCTCTATAACTCATCTGTTAATCAGCGATGATATTATAATCAGTGCCAAAGGCTGCCTTGCTCATACAAGAGGCTGAAATAGAATTGCATTTTTACTTTCATTAGATATTAAAATCCAGGGGAGCAGAAGTGGTGTCTTCATATTTTATCTGATGGCATAAATTCTAATAGTACTAAATAGCCATCCCAGAGTTAAATCTAGAAGCAATAACCTTTCTGTGATGCAATCTTCATAATTTCACCTATTAGACAACTTAAATATCAAAGACTAGATTTGGGGTTTTGAGGAGGAAGAGTATACTGGCTTGAACAAATATAGAGACTAAAAGTATGAATAGACTGACCTGTTTTCTGCTAGTGAAACAGACAATTAGCTTTGTCTTAGGAACCTTCTGAATACAAATTATTTAGGCTTCCTAAAGGTACTGACATGTCCTTACTACCAGCTCAAAGAAATCAGTTAAATAGTAAAAACTCTCAATGATACAGAATATTTTTATTTACTTCTGCTTATGTATTTATTGTATATCCATCTATGATGACATCTGCTACAAAATTATTTTCTAATTCACAATTAGGGTTGATTTCTTCTTTATTTGGTGATGTAGAATTGAGCTTGTATAGACTTCAAATATATGAATGAGACGTACTATGCATTTAATCAAATTTAGAGTAGATACTGGGACATGACATCAAGTTTTAACAATTCTCTTTACTTTATCAAGTTTTCCTGATTCAAATTATATTCTAAATTTGAGGTGAAAAAATGGTTCTGAATTTCTCTTATAAATATTCCTATTTTCATCAAAATGGCTCAATCCAAGAAGGGGGGACGGGAAATAATCACCTGATGGTTTCAACACATATGAACGAAAATATTTTGAGAAGTGAATTTAATCAATGCTGTCTTTGCAAGCAACTAAAATATTAATAGTTTATCTTTTTAAAAAATCACTCAAACTTGAAGAAGAGCAGTGGAAATTTGCATGATAGGTCTGTTACTCAATTTTATCATGTACTAGGACAAATTATATTTTCTAACTAGCCAAGAAAATGTGAACTACTTAGGAAAATAGGTTTCATAATACTTCAGTTTGAGGGAAGACAATGGTATTTAATTCCCTTTCTTATTACATAGTTTGCTGAGTATATTGTAATTATGTGACTGTTTCTAAAAAGTCAAGCATAACTTTTGAAAATTCACAAGTCATTTAGAGTTACCCAAGGAGCAGGTAACCAATATCTTTCTGTACAACATTACATTCAGACATTAAACAAATTCTTTTGACTAGATTTAGTCATAGCATTTATTAAAGACACTTGATAGGAATATTTTGTATATTTTAATATGTAGAATTTATTTGCTAAGACTACTGAGTAACACCTTGGGTAAAACAGCTTTGTGTTCTTGGATTCTTGGAATGATACCTTTCGCAACAATTTCAAAAAGATTTTGTGAAACAA